ATCATTATCATCATCATCACCATTATCATTATTATTAAACAGACGACGTCTCACTTGATCTAAGGATGAGAATAGAATGAGGGTGGAGTAAATAGGAGCTTCCTCGGCAGTCAAAAATATTAGTGGCGACATTGGTGGTGGTTGTGACAGTACCTTTAGAAAAAAAGTGTTATAAAATGCCTCCTCGGAAATGATTTCCACATCATCATCAGAGGAGTTATCTATGACTTATATAACGCTACAAATTGCTTAACAATCATTTAAATAAAAAAAAAATTCAAAGAAGAAAAGGTTTTTATAATTACGATGAAGGTTAAGTGGTGGTAGAGCAAGTGGTACCCTCCACGAGAGGTAAGGTTGGTGGTGGTTGAGACAGCTATCGTAGAAGGGATGAGTCAACAACTTTTCCCTTCAAAGGAGAATCTCCAAGTTCTCCACAACAGGGGGGAGTTATTGACTTTCCACGAACAAGATTTTCACATCATCATCAGAAAAGTTTTCTTCACCTTTCATTACTCTAAAATGGTTAAGTTTTCAATTAAAATCAAATAAATTAAAATTTAGAACAAAAAAGTAGGTTATACATACATAATTCTCAATAGCAAGCGTAAAGGGTTAAGATTTACGAGAATAACTTGCTTTTGACAAGGCAGAGTCAGGAATGATGCTCCTAGCCGATTCCATCGGCTTTTTATGCACATCGAAAAGTGGTGGCAGACAACCAGAGAGAGTGGAAGACTACCAGCAAATGGGGGTAGTCTTGTGGTTGGGAGAGGACTGAGAGAAGAGTGAAAATAATATAAAAAGCTTCAAAGGAGGTGAAGAGCTCAGTCGACAGCAAGTCGACTGAAAGGTTAGACCAACCAGTCCAAGTCTTGAGTCATGTGCGTCGCGCACGAGACAATGTCTGAACCCTCCATGTGTCTTATCATTACCCTATGTAGGTGGTAGGGATAATGATTAGAGGGGGAGGGGTTAAAAAAGTAGGAAGGAAGTAAATATAAGGACCTGGCTGAAGCTGGCGAGCTCAGTTGACAACGAGCTAGTCAACAGATCTGACCTAAATGATCATGGAGTATATCGTTGACATTCAGGGCCTTAGAAGGTCTACAAATATTTTTATTCCGGTAGAGCTGGTTATTTTACCACTTAAAGCTGATACTTAGCCATAAATGTTTAACTTCAGCCCTGATGTGAATGGTTTAAGCTTTTAAATGAAGAACGCACTGTTAATGCTTGGCTTGAAAAGTACTTTCATGGGATACCTTGGGACTTAGAAAAATCATTTTTCGCTAGAGTTACTTCCATGGTTCAGTTTTTCTAAAAAGATGCCAATATCATTTACATCAAGGAATTAGAAAAAAAAGTAGCTAAAAGAAATACTGTCAGACAAGTTAGTACTTCAAGCAATAATTTACAATATTCAAATTAATATTAACTCTACCATGTTTCAGATACATCTGTAATGTTGAAAACTTAGGTTGTCCCACTTTCAGTAAAATAAGTAAGGAGTATGAAGCATGCTTTTGCTCATAAGTTATGAACAAAACTTGTTTGTGCTGTAAAAAATGCCTTTGCTCTCAGCAAATGGCTACTGACTTAAAGAAACATAGTGGATAATGTACTTCACTTCAATGATAATGATTTGTCATATAAATATGATAAAACTTTATAATTAAATTTAAAAAAATTAATAAGTACAATTCAAGAAGAAGAATACATATAGTTGTTGTCCACTGGCAGAGGCATGGTAGGGCTCCTACCACTCTCTTTCTTACATACTTGTTAACGTATTCAACTGAAATATAAATGCTATGAATGTATCTACAAACAAGGTAGTATATATTTTATTAAAAGAATAGGTCAGTTAAAGCATTATACGGTGGCATACATCTGTGAACAATTTTAAAATTGTGTATTCAATGTCATGTAAATATAGCTAAAAAAAGAGAATTGACGTTATGGTGTCATATTGATCCTTTCTATATTCTTACACCTCAAAATTACGTTTTCCTGTAGATGACTAGTAAAATGTTTTTTGGTTTGTCCGTTTTGAATCTTATGCTAATGATTCCGCCAAAACGTCAGCCTACTACTCAATTCCACACGACCGTATTGTTCAATATATTACCATGAGCAGAAATGTTTAGAAACTCATGTCAATCTATAAAAGTTCATGTATAGCTCTGCTAACATCATTTGTCTTTCGAGCATCATAGAGAAAGGTCAGGAGAGAAAAGAATATAATTAACGACGACAAGAAGAGTAAGCAAGATTTAAGATGAGACACGCAAAAAAATAGGCAAAAATAAAATCAAAAGAGAAAGATATAAGGTGTTAATTATTTTAAAAAACTTATTTTTAAAAACACATTTATCATCATGTTGTATAAGCTAACTAAAAGCAAATTTACCAATGACGTGAAATGTCGAAAACTTTCTACCATGGATGATGAAAAGAGATCTTGGTTAAAGAATTTAATAGAAAAGTTTTTAACTTATACATTATCGTTCCCTCAACATAAAGGTTATAAGCGATTTTTATTAACGCATTACATATTATGGTAATGGGGGTAAAGCTTTAAAGGCTGATGGATAACTATGTAAACATCATTTATCTATCAACCGTCATGGGACAAGGTTAGAGCGCAGAAAAAAAAGAGTACGATAAAAAGTACTAACAGTGTGAGAAGTTCATTAATAGGTTTGTCAAGTGGACTGAACAGAAAAAAAAGAATCAAAAAAAAGTAATAAAAAGAAATGAAGATTGGGCATTGAAGTATCCAAAAATATAATAATAAGAAGTTTATAAGCAAATAATACATTACATAGTTGATATGCAAGGCTTCAAACAACCTGTCAACAATTTATGTATCAAAAAATTAACTATACTAGCACTTCATTCTGATGGTGAATTTGCAGTATCATTTGATCTCTCCAAAGAACTATTTTTATGGTAACGGCTCTCAGACAAATACAAAAGAGAAAATTAATGGTTGAAACGCAGTTTCCATGATATACCGTGGGAGTTGGGAAATTTTTCGTACAATACTATAGGAACAATTCTGCGAGAACACTCATACAATACAAGGAAAGTGCATGTGTTTGGATCATTGAGAAAACAATGGTTAGAGAGATTTAAATTCAAATTTCACGATATTACAAATTTGGGCTATCCTCTGACCAACAAAACAAAGCTGGCCACTGTTTGCCCTCATTATAATAGGGCGTACAAGACAAACTGTGCACATCCTAATGTTAGACTGTACAAAAAATTACTCCTAGATTTCTTTAAGTTCATAGAATGGATGCAACCATTGCTTTTCAATCATCCTATTAGATTTTTTTTTTCAATTTATAAACTAAATATTTGGCAACAAATCTTTTGGAGAGGTAAGATTCGATAGTTGTACCTCATGGATAAAAGCGTTTAGTTAGGACTCTTATTAAGATTGCCACAAAATATAAATCATTATAAAATTAAACTTCTTTAACTCATCTTATGGGTGAAAGCAGTACAAGAAACAAGTTTTAGTTATTTTCAAGTAACTTTTTAGTTATCTTTAAGGTTTTTACGGCTATGCTCAATAATCACAAAGTCATCTTCAAAGTTATCGTTAAGACATCTACACTTTTTGTCCAAAAGACCGTGCGGTACCATCTTCTAAACATATCAGTATTAGTACAGGTATCTCCTAACTGTCCGATAGCCCAGTCGCTAGCGTATTTGTTTGTTACCCTGTAGTTCTAAGTTTAAATCCCTTTAAGAAAAAACTTTTTTATCAATTACATATAATATTAATAAAAATGGAAGTAACAACGAAATAAAAATAGTTTTACCATTAAAAATTTCTAAAATTACATTTCAAACAGCCTGTGTTTGTAGCCAAGTGGAAGCGAGTTCAGGCACGGAAAGGGGGCCTATGCAATAGCACAAAACCCTATTGGCGGAGAGATGGCCTCTTTCAAGCCTAGCTACGACGCCATAGCTGACCTCAGAGCGAGGCCAGGGGGGGAGGTGGACACGTACTTGTCTAGTTTACTTACTATTACATCACTGGTGATTAACGTTTAATTAATACAATTTTTTATAAACAGAACAATGTTGTTTGCATAATGAATAATTGTTACTTAAGAAATAAGCGAATACAAAAACATTTTTTGTTAACTCTGCACTGATTTTAAATTCGTTATTAGATTCCTTTGTATTTAATTCTTAAAAAGATACAATTAGCTTGTCATAACTTAAGTCAGAAATACAAAACTTTAAATTCTAATCAACAATAATTGACATCTCGTAGTACAAATTAATCTGTGAAAGGGTGGTACTATATGTCCATTTGTGTACCTTAAAAATCACTAGGGATAAAAAAATTTTTCAAAGAATGAGACGCAATAAAAATGTTACAAATTATTCATACGATTTTATTTAAATAAGCTAATTATAAGAGAAAAAAAACTTAAGATAAGTTTTTAAAAAAATCACATAATTATTTATTAAAAATTCTGAATTACGAAAAAAAGTAATTATAAATTTATTACAACATAGAATAGCTGTAACTGTGAAAAAAATTTGTAAAATTAAAAAAAACATTTTTTACTTAGTAAATAACTTTGTTATGAACGAAATTTATAATTCAACAAATTTTTTTTTGTGGGAAGGAGATTTGGACACATCGGTAAAGTGACTGTTGTGTAGAGCATTGTATCCCAAATCCAAATTCGTCATTGTTTGATAATCATATGATTGTATTCCTTTATTTTTGTATAAAATTTTTATTAATATTTGGCTAACCTTAATAGAAGTTCTTTGATATATTTGTTTTTGGTTACTTTAATATTTTTTTTAAGTATCACTCAGTTAATCGTTTTTTTATAACCTTTTTTGTTGTTTAATAAAGAATATGCCCCCATTCTATACCAAGAACGGGATTAAATGACTTATTATATGAATTTAATTTATTGTTACAAATATAAGAAAAATAATATATTTTTTTTCAGATGCTATAATCGTCCGCAAAAATTTAGTCCAGATCACAAAGGTTCTAGTCAAAAAAACACCGCTAAAGGTCCGTATTCAACAAAATATGATTTTGATGAGGAAGCCCACTATTGTAGACATACTGATAATATTAAAACTAAAACTTATGATCAAGAGAATGATGACAGTGAAAGAATTTATAAAAGAGAATTTATCAAGCCTAGAGACACATTGCTGAATATGGTGGGTGAGTTTGTTGATAAATGCTCAACCCGCCTTAACGAACTTAACAAAAAATTACATGATGGAAAATCAATTGAAATACTGGACTGCCGTTGCCATATTGTAATTTACAATACTATTGAAAATATTATTTTCCTGTAACATGTTTTTACTAAGATAATTTTTTTTTGTGTTTCAGCGCTTAGCTGATATTGCACATAGTTTGTTAAAAATCTCCCCGTATGATCCAAATGCAATGGCTTGTCAAGGCTTAAAACGGTACATGACTGATATCTTACCTTCCGCGGAATGGTCTAACGATGATATGAGGCCAGCATTGACTGTTATTTTTCGTCGACTTGATAAGACTTTTAGTAAAATTCATAAAAAAAATCATGTAAGACGTAATACTAACTGGGACGCTGCAAGTGATCTTTTACATGGAGTTTACAAAACTTTAAAAAGGTGTCCGTACGTAGCATATTTTCCAAATTTAAAAACATTGTTAAGTACGTGTCAAGCCCTCATAATTGGTGACACAGCGCAAATTGAAGTAACATCATCAGCATCAGCTGCTCTTATGAGTAAACTACCACCAAAGCAATTTTGCTCCACAGTTCTACGACTACTGTCTCTTCAAGTAATCTCTTTTGGTGATGGTTACAGTTTTGAAAGTATTTGCGTTGGACACTACGTGTTTGCTACAGCAGGCCGAGCTGAAAGTATTTTATTAAATTTATTGATTCCACTTATTCTTCAAGTTGGTACTGGAAATAAAGGTTGCTGCAATATTGATATTATATAGCATTATTACAGTCAATTATTAATTTTTCTTAGTAGTTTAAAAACTGTTGAAAAAAGTATTTGTATTCTCACTATAAAAGATTGTTACATAACTTATTAAATTATAATATTTATTTCTAGATGTTCCAAGACTTCGACAAACCGATATCTGTTTTTCTTTATCTGCAGTTTTAAATATTTTGTGGCCCTCAGGAACAAAAACAATGCAAATTTCAACATTAAGTTCAAAAACTGCTAATGATCTTCGTGCAGGTAGTCTTACTTTTGCAGCCAGGGACTTGAAAAATTTCAGTAAAACATCAACATCACTATATCAAGTCGCTTTCTTAGGTAAACCTAACCATTGTACCATCTTATTTATTCATATTTCTAGTTACAAGAAACCCATTAAAAAGTTATTTTTGGAAAAACAAAAAAAAATCTTTAATGAATTTTACAGAAATCTTATATTATATGTCTCCTCAGCCTTATCAAGCTCACTTACGTATGAAAAAAAAAAAAATTATTTTGTTTTTTATCATATAATATAATGTTTTCTATTAATCTAGTTCTTATCAGTTTACTTTATCATGTAACTTCACTCTCTCTTATAAGTAAAATATCTAAAATACTACAAAAATTTGTAAATATTCTGTATCTCAGGGTTCAAAAGGTGTTTTTACATGTTTTCTTTTCAAGTCTTTTATCTGGACCCTCATTTCATAAAAAAGGTGTGTTTACGAATCATACTACTAGATCTTGAAAAACAGTGTTCTTACTCTAATTACATTTTTGTCAACAATTTACGCGAATACTTGTGCTTGCTCATATTTTGGCATGCAGCTACTACGCTTAGAGTTAAAAGGAAGAAAAGACCAGAAGAAAACACTTATTTTGCTGATACATTACCGCCACCCTATTGTCTCTGGTTATAACCTACTTAAAGTATCCGAAAAAAGTTTCATGGGGATGTTATCTCTGTTCTGTTGAGAGAACTAAATAACCTAGTATGTGAGCTTGCGTTAACCTTCTTACAATAAACCATTTTAGTTATCTCTAATATCTGTAGTAACTAGTCTAAAAATACGCAGGTGCTTATACTTATTTGTGTACGCGCATATTCTGTCATTTGTGTCCACAAACTTTAAACTAGATAGAGCTACCTAAGCGATGTCTTATACGTACTTCTGTGAGGACTTACATGTATACATGTACGCTCTGTATTAGATTTTACCACGTTTATTAGCTTCCTTGCATTGACAGTCTTGAACCGTCTGGGTGTTGACTCCCACTATCAACCCAGAACGTCATTACTAACAGTATACTTTGGAGTACGTGATATGATGTATATAAGCTTTTTTTTCTCATTGGTATTTTTGAAATGGTTATTTGATATCTGGTACATTTAAAATCAATATTTATGTGCCAAAATTACCAATAAAATAACAAACACTAATTAATCTAAGATTTTGAAAGCACAAGATTTAGTTGTGTAAATTTTTTAACGCTTATGTTACCATGAGCTTATATTTATCATAAACGTCGCCGAAAATCTATAACATTGATGTTAACCAATTCAAAAACTTCCTAAATGAAACTCAAAACAAAAATCATAGATAACTTCTTTATTGTTGTTGCCATTTATAATAAATATTTCAATAATAAATAATAAATATTACAAAGAATATTTCTCATAAAAGCAGATACTGACCAAAGGGTCCAGATTTCTGGCTATTATCTTTTAAAAGTAATCAATGATATTACAAGCGTAGTAAGATATAGCTTATGCTCAAAGTTGTCTTACAGTTGATACCCTGAATTCGCGACACACTGTTTTAAACAATATTAAGTTATCAGCGTATTTACTCGTCAATGTAGTCTTATGTAACCAGTTTCTTGTGAGTGCTATCTATCATCTGCTTTATACACTGTAATTAAACAAATTTTTTGCTACCTCTGCTGAGTTCTTGGCTAAATATTTTCTCTTATACTTGGCTGCTTCTTATAAGAACCACAGACAGTAATTTTGTGACTCATTATGTAAAGCCTAATACTTTCTTAACATCTGAACATTACTAGAAGAAGCCATTATTTTATTCCTTCTTTACCTTATTTAAATAACCTACCCTTTACTGCGTTTACTTCATAATATATTTCCTGAGGTACTTTCAACAGATTTATATGACCACATTTCTCCCACAGGACAGAGTAGCTTGGAAATCATAAGTAGTTAGAAACATGTTGCCATCTGTAAGGCCTTATCTATTACGATAACTGGCTCTTAAAAAAAAGTTTATCCTTATCGTCATGTGCACAATAGTGCAAAAAAAAATCACTAGTAACGTTACACCTGTGAGGTGTCATGGCTAAACGTAATACAGTGTACATGCTATAGTCTCATTTTTGATCGTATATTTAGCTGTAGTGCTAATCTTCCACTCTCCTAAAAACTGTAGGCTAAGGTCAATAATGAGAATGTCTTAGTTTATGCAGTATTCGTTGGCAATAAGATTGCTTCAGTACCTGGTGCTTGTGATAATATGCCAGCAATGCGCAACTTTTGGATTGGCATGACATCTTTTCATTAGCTTTGTACTATATTGTCACTGTTTTGATGTTGTAACCCCCACTATGTTTACCCCTATACTGAAGTAAAATTTAACATCTCTTACTAGGTGGCAGGTATTAAAAGCTGTCCCCAAATCCTGAACCAGTTCAAAAGTATTTTAAGATGTGGCAACAGCTCTAAGACTCAACTGGTTGGAACAGCCAAACCAGTAACTACTAATAATAGCTAAACCACTCTATTTATCTTATTAAATTTGTGCCATACCCGTATCTGATAATAACATTATCCTTTCTTGGTTTTAACCCTCTGTGTTTTTTTTGTATCTATTTTTCTTATAGAAGCCACGTTATTATCTCTTATTATGGCCAGGACTGCGTTTTTCTAGCTTTTTTTGTTCTCCGCTACTCCTCAAAAAAACATACTGGGTCTTCCTGTAATACTAAACATTGACACTGCTCTATTTAAAGCTTCCATGAACTTTTCACAAATAATCTACAAATACTTTCTTACTGAATCCAATGTTAACTGTGCAGCAGAGCTTTTTTTAGCCACGATGTGACTTTAGTTGAAGGGTGGGGTCCCATGTCATATATTTAATATTTATTACTTCAAAACACAGAGCTTTGTTTGTAAATTATAAAAAGTGAAAGAACAGCGATCTCAAACCATCAATCAGTATAACTGATTCTGCAATCGCGTGACATATGGCTTACTTCTTTCTAAACTAGCTCCTGTCACAAAACTAAAACTAAGCATGCAACCTCAAACAATCTTATAAGACGCTCATCTTACAAAATAAATTTACACAAGTATACCAAACAATGTTATTAATCAACAACTGTAACATTCTTAACAGCGAATGTATACAAAAAAAATCATATACCATTTCGACAGCAACTTATACTTAATGTAAAATCCAAGAGATCAGCAGTATTAATTATTAATTACTAGGAAATTATTGTACCACGACTGTGCTAGTGTCAAGCATGGGTAATTCGGTTAAGCTATTATTGGTCGTTCAGATCTCAAACTTGACGCGTCCTCCTTAAACGCAAGAGTATGAAAACTCCTTGCCCATAACAATGTTCGCCTGTTCTCTTTTACCAAGTGCTCTAAAGTAACTATAAATGTCGGAGAGTGAGTTCTGTTGCGTTTTTTAAGCGGATGTAAGACTTAGTTCGGTGACTGAGCTGTGTGAGAAGAGCTCGAGCAAACCAGGCCACTATAAACTCACCTAAAAAATAAATCGAGGAGGAACAAAAAAAAAGGACCGTTGACTTGAAATCTGACGTTAAAAGCAGGAGACTGAATATTTATATCGCCACGAGTGCTCTCGTATAGGATTAGAAATATCGTTGCTGTCAACCTTGTAAAATCTTGTGACTGCGTGCTCGCAAGCAGCGGCGAACCTACGATCATAGAAGTAAGTTAAGTTGAAGAAACTAAGAATTATATAACATTCTAAATGCGAATCTGAAACTTTATTATTTATACTATTTGTAAAATTAACTATTTCCGACTTTTCTAAGTTTATCAAATAATTAGATAAAACATAACTTAGTTGTCGATAAAATTAATTTTCTGAATTCAATGACATTTCAATCACTAAATTATATGGAACATTTTAAGATCGAATAACTAATTAATTGACACATAATTCTTACCTTAATGAATACATTGAATGACAAGGAAAAATAAGATAGACACCGTATGATAAGGACCTTTATAAGGACGTGAAATAAGAAGATAAATAAGATACGCGACTACCGTATGACATTAGACATAAATTCTAACAGTAAGTCAACGCCAGCTCAACGTACAACACTCCATGCATATCTCTCGGTGAAACCTAACACCTTAACGCTGAGTCAACGATTTCAAAGAAAAGTATACTGTAAGTAAAATCAAATAAGGCTTTTTGTCTGATGGCTGGTTTATGACGAAAAAAAATTTAATTTACTTGTTTGGAGAACGAATGTATGAGTTCTGCCCTTCACTTATAAAAGCTCGGGCGTAACAAATTGGCAACCATTATGGATAACTTAGCCTCTTGTTTTACTTAGAGTATGCTGTTACCAAATGAGAATTTTTATTTTCGTTTGTTTTTCTTAATCTTTTTTATTGTCTTTCCTTATTTATTTTCAATTTTTTTTTTTTTTTTTTTTTTAAATGGACCATACACCTAAGGATATAAGCAAGGTTGCAGATGTAGCTACACGGTTACAGATACTCCAACAATACTATAGGGCAAGGGAAGCTAACAAATCACTTGAATTTCTTGAGTTATCTCATAACGTAGCCTTAAATAATTAAAGTTTACGTATAGTTTAAGCTACCTTTCACATACCAATATAAAGGAGTCAAAATACATTTCTCAGATATTTCTTGAAAGATGTTGAAAATGGTAAGTCCCTTGTTTTAAATGGAGAAAAGTCTATGTTTTTAAAAAGATTTATTTCCAGGCTAAGAGGTAGCAAGAAATCGTCTAGATTGATTAACAAAAATATACATTAGAATGTTATAAGTAATTTAAAGGCACACTTAGCTCCTTCCAAATCTTACACTCAATGCATAACCAATATCTATCATCTGCTTTATACACTGTAATTAAACAAATTTTTTGCTACCTCTGCTGAGTTCTTGGCTAAATATTTTCTCTTATACTTGGCTGCTTNATAGTTTAAGCTACCTTTCACATACCAATATAAAGGAGTCAAAATACATTTCTCAGATATTTCTTGAAAGATGTTGAAAATGGTAAGTCCCTTGTTTTAAATGGAGA